TGGATAAACAAACTGTGGTACAGACACATAATGGAATATTATGCTACCTTGAAGAATAACAAGGTAGCTGTAAGCCACCACATAACATAGATGGACCTTGAGGACATTATGCTGAGTGAAACTAGTCAGTCACAAAAGGACAAATATTGTAAAAGCTTAAGAAACGATACTGGTACTAAAAGAAAAAAAAAAAAATTGTTGGTTGCCAAGAGTGGAAGGGAGGGGATGAGAGCACAGGTTAGGGGACAGTCACATCATATCTTGGCTGTTGGGAAGGGCAATGTACAAGGAAAGGTTGCGCAGAACACAAGAAGGAGGGGGCAGCATGGGAGAACAAGGTATGTAGGGAAACACTTAGGTAGGTTTGTTGTTGTTGTTATATGTGCTGTGGAGTCGGTTCCGACTCATAGTGACCCTGTACAGCGTTTCTGAGGCTGTAAATCTTTACAGGAGCAGAAAGCCTCATCTTTCTCCCACGAAACAGCTGGTAGTTTCAAACTGCTGACCTTAAGGTTTGCAGCCCGATTTGTAACCACTACGCTACCAGAGCTCCTTTTACATAAGTTTACATTGGCTAAATAGAACAGTGGTAAATAGTTATGTGTGCTCAACCTTGGAATGACAAGACTTTATGATACAGGGCACAGCTTGAATGGGTGAAAGAGGGGAAATAATGCTAAGATGCTTGACTCAAGTCTTGTGGATATTGGTTTCTCTTGCCTATTAATGTAAAATAAACACTTAAAAATAAAATTTAAAAAAGAATCTTGATTACCAAGGGGAAATTGGATTGATGTTGAATAATGGAGGTTAAAAAGAGTATGTCTGGAACACAGGAGCTCTTATACGGTATCTTTTAGTACTCCCATGCCCTGTGATAAAAGTCAATGGAAAATTACAGCATCTCAGTGTTGGCTTGACTATTAATGCCCTAGACTCTTCACAAATGAAGGTTTAGATCATTCCACCAGGCAAAGAACTATGACCAACTGAGGTTCTTGGCAAGGATAAAGGGAATATGGAATTGGTAGTAGAAGAAGGTAGTTTTAAATTCCAGTTATGACCATGTGTCCAGTTGCAAAAATGAGGTTTGTAATTGTTATTTATCTAGCAATTGTTTCTGCTTCTCTACCTTATAAAATATAGAATGTAAAAAAGGCTCATTCATTTTTGGTTATATGCATGTCAGCTGTATCATCTTAGGCACAGCTATGACCTTGTAATTGTCTGTATTTTGAGATTATGTATAGTTTAATGATGAGATGCCAAGTTGAGACGGGGTGGACTGTGATGATTAGAGTTGTGTATCAACTTGGCTGATCCTGAGTTTCAGTGATTATAAGTTACTTAATGATTTATTTTGGAATTAGATACTGTAGTTTGACAGTAATGAGTATGTAA